TTTGCTCCAATGCGAAATCTTCATGTTAATTTATCAGCTGAATGTTTTTCCTCCAGAAATGTCTTTAATCATAACAAGGCAAGTGATGAAATTACACAACTCCGACAGAGTTATTTTCTCATAGTTATGCTTTGGTTTGAATCTGCCAACAGCAAAAAATAGCCCTCAACCACTACTAAGAAGAAAGCCAGTTAATCAAACCATAAAGATGTGTGCTGAAGAAAAGAACCAGTCAGGCAATTTTACTGAGTTTCCGTTCATGCAAACGCCCTGTGGCTATATGACACAAATCAATCAACCTCATCAAAGGGCCAGTCAGGCTCTTCTGAAGTACAGAGGAGCCTAAACACCATCATTAGCGACAGTGTTAATGACGAGATGGTGAGAAGAAGCGACAGGCAAGGAAGTAATGTGTGCAAGTGTGAATGCCATTTGTTGCCATTTGTCTGAGCTCAGCTCCCATGGTGACACATTTGAGATTTGTAATTCAAAGTGGATGTTAGTGAGCCTTACTTGCTTTGCAAGGTCACGATTCAGTTATCTTTTCCCTTTCAGTAACTCTAAACAAATTTATATTTTCTCATCAAGCAAGTGATTTTCATAAAATCCATCTTGTGAATGAAAGAACATAAACACAATTGCTTCTTTGTGATTGAATGGAAATAGTCTCCATGCGAGTTGCTGCAAAAACGCGTTTTGTGATTTAGCTAGCAAAGTCATTGACAGTGCAAACCCTCCTATGTCGCAACATGTGTGGGCAGTTTCTTTAGGTATAATAAATCTATGATAAAGAATATGTCTACATATAGTTATGGTGGTGCTATAGCAACCTACAGGTTAAAATCTTACGTTGAACTATAAATCAGTTTCTACTCCGGATGTGCTTTTGGCGGGACCACCCAAACATGTTGCCAAAGAGGCATAAATCTAGTTTTCAACAGGAGTCTTAAGGGTTTTCTTTGTGCTAAGTTAGTGCACAGCTGAGTTCAAATTATTCTCACCCGCCAAAACAAACCAAAATTTAAGAGTAACTGCTCCAGATTATTGAGGGAAAAAAAACCTCACTTGGTGGGAACAGGCCATAAAATAGCACGAGAAAGTAATCAAACATGCCTCTGTAAGACACATCGGTATCTGATTGTTTTCTTGTATATGTAACATGGACAACCATTGTTTTTAAATGGCACACTTTTGGAAGGTCAGAACATTGCACACATGGGTTTTGAGGTACTATAAACATTTACAATTACAATTAACGACTAAGTACAAATCTAAAATGAAACAAATGACAAAACAAAGGACAATGACAACAAAAGTTTCACTTACAACCAGGGACGTATGGCTTACGAAGTGAACTACACAAAGCACACAAGTCCACTTTGAGGATGCTGGCTGGAGCTGCTTTACATGTTTTGCTATTGACAATACATGGCCAACAGAAGACCTGTTGTTATAACCTCTAGCCTCAAGTCCTGACACCATATATGACACAGCAGTTGAATATAAGCAGTCAAACAATGGCTGTTGGGATGCTGACAGAGGCTTTGTATGTTCCATTCATTCAGGATCTAGTGACCTATGTCTGCTTCCCTGAGGTGACTGAAAGACCGTTACCAGGTGAATATGGGTAATGAAATCAGTCCCCATAGGGCAAGGGTGATAGAAGAACAACAACACAGGAGTGGTATCAGTTCACTGCCGCCTTTTCAGCTATCAGCCCTGATCTGCCTCAGAGATTCTAGGTCAGTAGTGGCTTTTTAAAGACCTGATATGGGCCTCCAAGGAGTTTGGTTCTGCTAAATAGGTCTGTAACGGCGCCTGACACTCTTAAAGAGGATCTGTCATTTTCAATAGTACTTTGAGATTTAATACACCTTGATTAGTTTAAACTGAGTACAGTAATAACTGCACATAAACATATCAGATTGTTAGTACCATACTCAGGGTTGAAAACATCCAAAAAATACTAGTCACAAATTAGAAGTTTACGCTTTAGATTGTATAAAAATATTGTAATCGTCTTCTTGGTAATACAGAAGCACCAAGTCAAGTTGCAGCAATAAGAAATCTAACAGGCTGATGGGTTATATGTAAAACTATAAATGACAACTGGAACAGTCTGACCAATACAGATGCGGTGTGGCAGCTGGTAATAATAAAGACTGAATAAATACACAGGGATTAAACAATATGGCCTTATATATCCGCTATTCAGGCTTATCAAATTGACACTGGAATTATAAAGGGTCTTAATACAGGTGCTACACAGGGAAAAAACACATGAGATCTATCAAACTGTCTACTAACCAATACTCACCAATCAGAATTATTGACACTGGACAAATATGATATTGCTTTTTTAAATGCCAGATGCCAGATGCCAGATGCTAGCAACCGGTGATAGTCCAATATGTTTACACTTCTCAGAAAATATTTCATTATGGGTTATAAGTCATTCATGTTCAACATTCACTTACTACAACATTATTATCAGCTGAACAGTACAAAGTTAGAACAAATACAATCTAAATCAAACTATAGACACAGCAGTTAAAGACATGGCAATGTTGGCACACGTGTATGCTGAACATTCTCTACTAAAACTGTTATGTTTTAGCAAAAAACAAGTGGAAAACAAATGTGTGTTTTCTCCACACAGACCACAAAAATAACCAGTAACAGTGCTTTTAAACCTGTCGCTACACAAAACTAGTTTCCCATTGTCAGGCCTGTCACCACACTTCATTTTAGCCCTGTGCGTTAAACAACAACAACCTCCAAGCTAGCAGCCTAATCACTAAAACATATTTTATTATTTTATGTGGTGTTTCCTTTTGTGGGAAGTTAGCCATTTTAATACCAGGACTCGTCTCCCGACATGCAAATATGCCACCAGATCAAGTTCCACCACAACACTATTTTGCAAGGGCACCATCATCTCATCCCAGGCTTAGCATGGTCTAAAACATGTGTGACAAGTGTAACTGTTTTTACCCCAGTGCGGAACTGTGATAAGTTGTGCCATACCTTTCTCCAGTGCTGGCACAACGTGAGATAAGTGTGGCTATATGCAAGGCTAGTGACAAGCAATTATTTTCATTACAGAGTAGTTATTTTCTCGATTAATCATTTGGTCTACAAACACTGAGAAAAAAGAAAAGTGCCCATCATGTTTTCCTAGGGGCCCTAACAGTATTTAGTGTTATCTTACAAGGCTAAGGAAAACCAGTACATATTCACCTTTAAGACATGGAGCAAGTGATTTTTTCCAACAGTTTTGTGGAAAAGAAAAAAATATATACTTAAAGAAATAATTGTATATAACTAAAATGATATGTCCATTTGTCAATGGTCAGAAGAGCCTGGTCTCACTCCTAAGCCTTTGAAATCTAGTGCTTGGGCAGTGACTTGCAGCTTCAGAAACCAAAGAAAAAAAGCTATCTTTTAATGTCAGCATGACACATGGCCAGTTGGCGTTTTAGTTTAACGGCACCCAGGGGCTTCTGGGGAAATGTGGCTGGACAAGGATGAAATTTTAGGTGATGAAAGTCCGACTGGGACAGGTGGGAGGGGTGGTGGATGGGTCCAACAAACACCGACTTTCACCCGAGAGAGCAGTGTTCGCGTCCTGTCAGATTCTAAAGCCAAACCTTGTTCTTTTTCTCCTAAAACCTGACCATGTGTTTTTGTTGCCTAAAAACAACCATGTGTGTTTGTTATTGGAAAAAAACGAAAATGTCAATTTGCAGTGTTGTACTGACGTAGTGCATCTATTTTGAAAAAGACTGTATGTAACAGGCAGAACTTGACACAGTGTCCCAGAATGTCAACAACCAACGCACTCTGAGTACTTTGCAGGTTGTATGTGGATGTGGAAAGTCCATGACCAAACGTCAATGTGTGACGACATCAGAGTGAGAATGTGTTGGTCAGAAAAAGTTACCTTCAACCTTTTCTGTTTTTTAAAGAGGGGATGTCTGGTAGACATGCAGTTGCCACAGCTAATCATGGGTATAAAAGTAACACTATTCTTGTCGATGATGTAAATAAGGCAGAGTATTGTGGGGGGGGGGGGGGCAGCGCCCTCCTGTACAAATGCCCCATAATCCTTATCAACGCCCCTGCTACACTGAATCACTCACTTCATTCCTCAGCAGGCTTCCAATCTGATTTTTACTGTGTCTTCCCGTAAATCTGCAAAGCTGTGACTGCATTCCATCAACATGCAACAGATAATCAGCTAGTCATCAATGTTTTGAAGGCTGACAAGAGGACAGCTCACTGCAGGATGATAGAGTCAAAAGCAATGGGGGCAGGCATGTGTCGTGATTGAAATTCTCCCAGAACAAAACCTCGTTTGTGTGATTATTGTTCAGCAGGCTCGCAATGAGGCAAAAATCCATTCCACATGATGCATTCATTGTTTTCAGCCAAACACGCACCAGGCCCCACAGCAGCCACTGCTACTGTACAATAGCCACCACTAAAAACAACTGAAAGCCTGCTGCAACATTTAGGTGGGTTTACAACAACTGTGTTCAATATCCTATTTAGAATATAATGTATTACTGCATTTAGGATATTATTAGAGATTAAACATGTAACTTTCTATTTTGAGAGTACTGTGGTAGTTATCAGCTCCCTACTGGATTTCAGATGCAAATCATTATAGGACTGTTATATTGCAGAGAAATAAAATACCAGTAAATTCAACATATTCTCAAAATTACTGAGCAACAGGCACATTGTAACCCACTACAGGAACTTCAAAGGAGTATAACTGGGAAGATTTCGTTAGTATCTGAGTCAAATTATAGCAGTTTGAGTCACCTTTCAACAGGTGACGAAGCAATAAAATCAAACTGCCGTTTGAAGGAGGAGACTCTGCAGACAACGGGTGCAAACCTGTAACTAAGGCCACACAATGACAACACAACACCTGCGTGACAGGGAAGCAAAGTGCTGAGGAGTTGAAACAGCGTTTGTGCTCCGTGACTCACCTCTATCCATTTCTGCGCCTCCTGAAACGCGGACTCTGCGGCCGACTCGGTCACAGGGTGATGCTGATGAGACTGTCCTATGTCTGCAACCGGACTTGCCATTGGCGAAGAAGCTCTGCTTCCCAAGTATTAAAGCCTGTACAAAGGTGTGAAAGCAGCTCAGTGCCGCGTTATTCCACCAAAATTAGTCGTGAACAGTGTCGGCCAGCCCGTTCTCCTCCGTTGGTTGTAGGTGTTGCAGCAGCAGCAGCACCGACGAGGCGAACGAACCAGTTGCTGCTCTCCAGTATCGCTCCTGTTGGAGTCTGTGGGCAGACAACCAGCGTCAAGTCAGCCACAGTCACTCACGCAGCTTCCGGTAAGACCGCTCAGAATAAAAGCTTCTGTCGAGGAACATACACTATGATTGGGCGCATTCAAAGATAACACAAATATAATATTTAAGTATTACTATTAGTACGGTGACATCCGCCCTTGCTATAACACGCTTTACTGGCACGTAATTTGGATAACTTTACTCTTAGCATATTCTAACATACATCTTGCTGAAAGCTGAACGTTAGGTTACAGTTAGCATTAGCTCATTAGCTTAACCTATGGTTAGCTGATAATGTTACAGCTTAACTAATGTTACAGGAACTCGGAAAATGTGCCATTAAATATGATATGCTAGTTAAACAGCATCTCGAAAACTCAAAAATAGTAAGGACTCGCAATTAGGAAAAATCCAGGATGGCCGTTATTTGAGACAAGGAAACGGTAGCACCATACGCTAGCAATGTTAGCGTTAGCATTAGCCAACATGATGTTAGCTTCCTTGCCAACCGTTCCAAGTGCAAACGTTAATTTAACAGTCACATTTTGTGCCTTTTCTTAAGCTAATTGTCATTGTTATGTCTGAGAGTTTAAACTGGACTTAATTAACGTTAGCTAATGATTAATTACCGTGATAAAGTAACACAACTGTCCCTTTCTCAAAGACGAACAGTGGCGTTAGACATGAACCTACCGCCATTTGAAGACATTTCCAGATTCCTCAAAGACTCCTTAATCCAACTGAAGTGAAAATTACTATTATTATTCCATTGAATGAACAGTTTAAGGAGCATTTCAAGTTGCAACTGTTTCTCAAACTCAACGTCAATGGCACCCGGAAGTGAATATACATCTTTATTTTGGCGGTACAAATCAGCGACACAGGTAACCGGAAATTGAAATTTGCTCGTGTCTATGACTATGAGCAAAAAAGAAACAAACAAAAGTTGTCATGAAATAAAGTAAAAAAAAAACACCAATTTAATCAATATGAAATAACAAACACTTAAAATAAAATTAATAATGACTTCATGGTTACACTTTATATTTCCTTGGTGCCTAGTAGAAGGAGATTTATCACCTCTGGCTCATGTTTGACTGAAAAACAAACAAAAAAAAAAACAGTGATGAACTTGTAACTAGACAAAAATCTTAAATAATATTAATGTGGAGGCTACTGCTGGCAATAAAATTGTGGTAAGTCTTTTTCAAAGTTGTTGTTTTTTTACCAACCAGTTAGGTTTTTAGTTTTTTAATGCATAAGAACTAATGTCATGAATTAATGGTGTTACCTGTCCGTGTTATTACTGCCCACTGTCTTCTACTCCATTGGCCACTTGTTTAGGCTCTTGTTTTGATTGCAAAACTGCTTTACTTCCGGTAATAATCTAGCTGTTTCTCGCTAACTTGCCGCAGCCGGACTGACAGGACGTGCAGACCGCAGTATGATCCGCTCCAATGGCCAAAAATACACAGAGCAGCGCCGCTCCACCACCAGCCAATGAGGGCAGCAACACACTGGGGATCACACAGCCACTTTGACTAAATGGGGCAACTGAGAGAGAGAGAGGGAGAGAGAGAGAGAGAGAGAGAGAGAGAGAGAGAGAGAGAGAGAGTTCACTGATTTAGAGCAAAGGCACCCAAAACAAAGGGCCAAACTCTGACCTCCAGTCACTGATCATTATGAGGCAATTAACCATTAGGGAAAGTATAGTATTTATCTTTGTTAATAATCTATTCTGATACACTTCATCAGGTTGATTCTGGTGCTAATGATGCTTTCTGTGATTTGTGTCGGTCTAAAAACATTATTAAACACAAGTAAAAAGTTTGGTACATTCAAAGTCAGTTCCCTCAGTCAGTCAAATCTTAGTTCTTGATGTCAGGGCCACTGTTACGTCTAATTTGGGGGACATAGAGTGAGCAGTCCTCCAGCTGGCCACAAAACATGAGCACATTTGCACTTTAACCCCCTGGACACATTGTTTTGTAATCAATAACCTGCTATTCAAACTTGATATCTCACTCCCACCTGTAAACATTGTCAGTTACGTAATGTAGAGTGCACAAACAAGCCAGATGTCTCAGTGCTGTGGATTAAAACAACTTGATTTGCCCATGACAGCAGTTAAAGTGAAATACATGCCCACTTTGGCCAATGAAATAATAATTTAAAACAAAAACAGCCTCCTTAATAATCAGCATGGTCAGGGATATTTCTCAGAATGAAAGGCCACACAGCATTTAAGCACCATGCAATACATCATTAAACTGTTTTATGTTAAACTGTATCCTGGGTTAGATGACACCAATTAAGACTTATCTAGTTCCTACAGAACTCATATTTGGCCACATGCTGGCTGATATTCTTACATCTTTGCTGACCTCTTGTGGAATTATGCAGCAGTACTGAAAAGTGAGAGGAGGAGCTTCAGCCAGGCTGTGTGTTCATTTGCAAAGATGGTGTGTACAGACCATAGACTCAGCACTCCTCCCCTCTGCTCCTCAGGCGTCTGCTTCCTGGATACCAGAAACAGTCAAGTGTTTATTTTTTTCATGTGATCTTTGTCCCATTATATCTGTGTGTGGTTTGTTTTCCAGGAGGCCGGCTGTTCCCAGTATGCTGCTCAGCTTCTTGACTTCAGGAGTTGACAGTCCCACCTGTGTTTGACAGGACGCACTATTCTCAACCTGGACAGCAGTTAGGCAAGTTTTACATCTCTACTGTTAATATGTCCTTACTTTTGCATTAAGAAGTCTGTATGTCCTGATTATGCTTTTCATTTTCTTAATAATTACAATAATATTGATGTAATGTTAACAGAAGCACTAATAAAGTTGTATAATCAGTATTTTTTTTAATTCCAGGATACAGTAGCCTTTAAATCAAGGACAGCACCTGTCATAAAGATGAATTAGACTAAAACCTGGAGGAGTTTTGCAAAACATAAACTACATATTCATATCAGGTTCTATCTTCCTACTATTTTGATTTGTTTGTTCCATTGTGTCATGTTTGGTGTGGCACTAAAGCTTGCGTATGATTGTCTACTGCCTAAAATGACATACATTTATGGAGCCTAGAAGATAAACATTCAGCTTGCAAATAATGTTTTAACACAGAAAAAGAAATGCAGTTTCTGTTCATTGGTAGACACAATTTGTAGAGCGTGTTCTCTCTTTGTAGGTGACCTATCAGTCAGAAAACAGACGATGCAGTGGTCACTTACTATATTGAGAACTGATGGTTGACTCCAGTTGTGATCCAAAATGCTGTGGCGGTTGGTTGTTGTTGTTTCACAAAGGATGGTTGAGCATCTGCAGTTTTTTTTCCTAACTTAACAGCAGATTTATTCAGTGAAATCACCGACTGTCATATTTGTTAAATCTGCAGACTCTTTGCTTTTCTTGATTTATAGTTTGACATCCCTGCATTTAAAAGGTGTAATGATTTAGGAACTGAAACATTTTTACAAGCTCTTGCAAACATAGATACCATAATGTGTCTGCAGGGGGCGCCAGAGGTCAGTTTTTCTAATGTTTTTACTGGTTATATCTTCTTACTATCTTACTATATAATGATCGCCTCACTGACTTGGTCAATCCATGTGAAATTTGGCACAGTGGTAGAGGGTCATGGGAGGATGCGAATGAAGCAATATTACATCAATTGGCCAAAGGGGGGCGCCATAGCAACCGATTGAAATTGCAAACTTTGAAAGGGCATATCTCATGCCCCGTATGTCATAGAGACATGAAACTTTGCACAGAGATGCCTCTCCTCATGAGGAGAGAACAAATTTGCCTCAAGAACCCATAACTTCCGGTCATACAGATTTTCCACCATTTTGAATTTTTTGAAAAACACTTCAAATTGATCTCTTCCTAGGAAGTTTGAGCGATCTGCATGAAACTGGGTGAACATAATCTAGGGACCAATATCTAAAGTTCCCTCTTGGCAAAAGTTGGAAAACTTCCTAAAACTGAGCTTCTATAAGGCAATAAATATTGCGGAGGGCGTGGCTCATCACATAAAGGTGTATAACATCTCAAGGGTTTCACCCATCACCACGCAACTTTGTAGGCATATGACCACACATAATTTGAGGGGACCCCTCCATTATTGACCCCATCAAACAAAATGGGGGCGCTAGAGAGCTAATTTCTTATCTAGGCCTAACCACCATATTGATTTTTACTAAACTTGGTAGATATGTAGAACAGGATGCCTCAAGGTGACTATAGAAATTTAACTCTAATTGGCAACTGGGTGGCGCTATAACAACAGAAAAATGCTTAAAAATGGCTAAAATGTGACCGATCGCTGTGGCTCTCCCTTTTAAGTCAATACAACATATATATATCTACATATCTGCCTTTCAACATGCTACCTCAACTACTAATGTACAGTTTTAGCCCACTAACTATCCCACTATTGCCAATGGTACTACTGTACTTTCAATGATGCAATTGTACTATCAAATTCACAAAAACTGAATACAGTGCTCTTCTTAATGGGTTCAGTTGACTATTTAATCTGCAATTTGCTATGACCTGTATCCCAAACACACACCATGTGAAACTGTATGTGGGAAACTGTACACTCAATGGATATGGACTAGTATCACATTAAGCAGATATTGCTTAAAAATGCACTCCATGATGCCAGCTCTTATTACCGATAAGTGCTGTGTATGAATGAGCAGCAAACCAACATTTTGACAATTTGAGCTGTGCAACCTCAGTAATAGTAAAAATGACTAGTCATAATAATAACTGTAACAATACAAACATGGGTTCACAGTTTTGTCTCAGTTACCCCTTGCAATGTGCCATCAGGGCAAAGATGTAACAAATGCTTTTTTAAACCAAAGTAAAAATCACATGTGAAACAGTGAACATTCGACCGCTGCGTGCCAACAAACAGAATGTTTGTATTTTTAAAAACATATTCTTTTACTGAAACAGAATCAAAATTATTTATGACAAATATGTATCTGCCTAAATAATCTGCTAAAATTAAAGGTGGTTGTTCCTTGGAACTCTTAATTCTTTTTCTTACACAAATAATAATCCAGTTTCAAGAAGAACCAGATCAGATGAGCCAAAATCAGGATTAGAATAACTAAAATAAAAAAGTGCTACAAATTGTGTCATTTTTCTTAATATAGTTTGGATTTTTGATGTGTGTTTGTATGTGATACTTATCCATAGTCAGTGTATTATGAAGTAGATAGCATGTCTCCAGTTTGGAGAAGCAGGCAAGAGATGACATGGAAGCTAAGCAATGTAGTGCTGTGGAGGGGTCGGCAACAAAACATATTTAGCCTCCTAGAAAAATCCCACAAAAAAAATCTATATGTGTGTTTGTGTATATGCCAAATTAAGAGTATTTTATTACTGCTTTATCTTTCCATCTGACAGTCGGGTCTGACAGGAAAGCTGTTATCAGCTTTAGTTTACCATCTATGCTCTTGTCAAAGTCACCAGACTCCATTGACAAAAACAGCAATTTTAGCTCACTGAACACAGGAGCTGCTGGACCACTGCTGCTTTGATCAGTGAGTAAGTTTGTGTTATTGTGTGACTTTGGTGAATCCAGACTAACCCTTTTAAACACTAAAGTCACATGATGACACAAACCAACTAACAGTTTGAATCACTGTTTTTCTCTAGGAGTCTGGCTTTGAAGAGAACAATATAATGACTTCATTTTCCCATTGGAAATCACTATCTGACATTAAGGTGAAGCTGTGACAGCACTCTTGATATAGTGTACACTTAAACTGATATTGTTTTATTTGGGTGGAACATTTTTTAAGTGGCGGACTCCAGCCTGCTTCTCTAAACTGGAGGCGTGACTCCTGAGTTCCACAAACTTATTTCACTTTCTCCTCCTTTCATCCCCAGGCTTCGACTGTTCTTCCTGTCTCCTTCACAGCTTTTGAAATGTGGCTCATGGTCATCTCTGTCCCGCTGCTTCCTGCCATCATCATGATATCCAGTCGTTATCGTGTCAAAGTTGCCACGCTGTGCCATCGAGCTCTGGCGTGGGCACTGAGGCTGGTGCAAGGGAGAGTGTGCGTGAGGAGCACCCACGCCTTCGTGTTCTCTAAATGCACACATGGCAAAGCTGACAGCGTCCTGGAGACCTTTGACCTTTACGCAGACACACACCCCTCCCTCTGCATCGGCCCACAGATTGGTCAGTATGCATGGGAATCACTTTATTTACCAAATGCATTAAGTTACAAGACATTGTCTTTACGAAGTCAGAAAAGATTTATTTTAATATTTCACAGATCAATACAGGAAATGTATTATTTTAAATATTTTTTTCTATATCATGTTACATGTAACTGCATGTCTATCAGCTCGAAGTTTCACACATTATCTGAATAATACACCACTCAAGTTTGTTTAGAAATTCATGTTCACAGTAAAACAAATTGTGCACTATGTTTAAATAAAATTTAAAAAATCAGTCTTCAGGTCATTAATTAGTCACAGATACAAAAAGGATATGACAGGGCAAGGACATCTGTTCCTGTCATCCCTCCCAGGTGAAGCACTGGATGAAGTGGTGAGGCGTGTCCGTCCCTCCCGAGCGTTGGAACTGGGGATGCACTGTGGCTACACTTCTGTCCGCCTGCTGCGTCTGCTACCCCCTGCTGGCAGACTGATCACAGTGGAGCTGGACCCACTAACAGCAGACCTTGGGGAGGAAATCATACTGGTGGCTGGCTTCAAACACTCCCAGGTATACCCAGGGAAGATGAGCTTTCATTTCACTGCACTCAAAAGACAGAGAGTTTAACTGAGGGAATCTATCCTCTTTTCCTGTTCAGTTCCAGGTGTTGATATCCAGCTCAGCTGAGGCCATCCCAACTTTGCGTTCATTGCTTGAGCCTGATCAAGGGACCAGTGAGGGGCTCAATCTGGTGCTGATGGACCATGACCCCAAGCAGTACCTTCCAGATCTGCTGGCTCTGGAGAGAGAGGAGCTCCTCTGCCCTTCTGGCTGCTCTGTGATCCTGATGTACAGGAACCAAAGAGCTGAAGATCTGAGCGAGATCCTGCGTCACATCAGAGCAAAGCGTGACTGCTACTGCATCAAGTCCGAGCTTCAGTCTATGATAGAGATCTTCTACCAAAAAGAAAACACAAGGGTAGAAAGGTGATATCAGAATCGTCAGGGTGGACATGTGCTTTCAGTTTGTGTGGACTCCATCAACTAACAGTGTTACATACTTCGTCATATCTAGTATTACTGATGGGTCAAAGAATTACAGGATAAAATGATATTAATAATATTTTCTACAATTTTTCAAAGTCATAATTTTGTATATTTTGTGTAACTTGTTAATGTCAAAAATCAATGAACTCAAAAATAAAATCAAAAAGCTGCTTACACAATCTCTCCTCACAACAAAGGAAACAAAGAAAAACAAAAACTTGATGTAGAGCACAGAGACACCACATGATGGCGCTCTCTGCTTTTTAAAGAATAGGTACTCAAACGTTGAGTGGCTTTGACGAGGCAACCTTTTAAAGGGAGATGCCACCCATTTTTAAGACCTTGCATGTTATGTGTGCACTCCAGGACAGCCCAAAAAATACATGCTGTAAACAGGAAGTTTGACCTTTGAATTTATAACGTAAATATATGTGTCCTGGTTTATTCATGACGCCACAGCAAACTTGTTTTGACGCACACTGCCTCTTGTGCACGTTGTGATATTTACTTTCAGAACCCAATTCAATGTTTACAATTAACAATAAAGCATTAGCGGAGAAACAGCTCCCAGTTGTTTTGTAAATCTCTTTTTACAAACATCAGCATACCTGCACTTAGATTCAGTGTTATGGCATTCACTGCATCTTAACTGAGGAGAATCACTGTTGTCCTGTGGGTACCACTCAGACGGAGTTTTCTGAATTTGCCTCTAATGACACTGCTGAGGATTTCAAAGCAGCTGGAAAGCCATTACATGGTTTAGAGACAATTTAGTGCGGCATTTAAATAAATAATATTGGTGCACAAACACGATTTAATTAAATGCAATATTTCCAGGAGCCCAGGGGTGGGTCTAGACTTGAGGTCATTATTGTTACACAACAGCGCGATGAATGTAAAATTATACAAAGTTAGAGAGCTCGTCGCAGTAACAGAGAGACAGGTAGAAAAAGAGAGTCAGGGGAAGTGGTGTAAATTGTCAGCTACTATAAATTAGACATGGAGGTTAGACACGGTCAGGGATGAGAGCTTTTGTAAATCCATCCAGTTAAACTGTTCACTGTGAACGTCTCCACAGAGCACGACGGGTAATGGAGCTGGAAAAATTTGACGAGCTGCATGAATACTTCATAATCTCATACATGGATCATTATTTGCACAGCAGGGGAAGTGGCGATTGCATTTGCTGAAGAGAAAATAACATGGGATGGTAGACTAGGCATATGGGTTATTGTCTGCTCCCCGACGAGTGATTCTGTTATTGAGAACTGCAGAAGCATAAACAACCAACTGATTAGTATACAAAGTTAGTCTCATAATCAGTATCAAACTATAACAACTTTAATTCCAAATTAAGACGTGTACCAGTTGGAGAAAAAAAGGTGACGCCCACTCGGAGGAAGTGATTGCCTCCATGAAAGTCAAACCACTGAATATTATTATCACTAATTAGCAATCTGGAGCGTTTCACTTTGAAAATAGCAACATTCAGGGTGGGTGTAATCATCTGTGAGGATTTTTTCATGCACTAAGAGAAGTCTTGCAGTTTGTGTTTTGAAATGAAAGAGCTCCTGTCTCGATGACAACAAAGATTCAAATGTTTGGATTCTGTTTTTTGGCAGAGTTTGTTGTCTTTGCAAATATTTACTGCGAGTGTCTGAATCAGCATATGTATACCAGTTTTTTAATTATGAATTGATATCCCTGTTTAGTAAAGAAAAACATCATGGTATAAATGACACAGTAATTTGACACAACTTTTCCTTCTGAACCCCAAATTAGATTTGCACAAGTAAAAAGAAAAGCAATAACATTCTAGGCTGTACTTCCCCCAAAAACAACCATTAAATTTGAGTACAAGCAGCATTTATGTTTATTGTTAGGCCACATTATGACAGGAGCAAAGGAGATAGTCAGGTGACGTAGTACAAAGAGTGAGAATGTCAGCGTCAGAGTGGATGGATCGATGAAACACAGGACTTTTACCCAGGAAACTGCTGTTTGTGTCCAGTGTAAAACCAAAAGTCAATGTTGAGTTATTTTAACTTACATATGTAATGTACGTAACACAACAAACTTACGTTAACAACCCATTCCCATTCCCAGGTCATCAAATACTGACACTAAGGCACACCCCTCGGCCTCTGATACTAACAAACATGGCACCATTTACTGTTGGTATGGGTTGCACTTGGCTTTCAACTATCTACAATGTAAACCCATCCACAGCAATGTTAGACGCTCAGAGTAACTGACGTGGTATAAAGAGCAAGAAAGTCTGCGTTTGGAGGAGGTCAGGGTGGATGGATGGATGGGTCAAACAAAAGCAGAACTCTCACCCAGGAGAGCTGCTGTTTTTGTCTTGTGTGAAACCAAAACTCAAAGTTGGCTTATTTTAACCAACTAAAGTCATGAGTTGACATGGTTGCCTGATGCCTGCCACCTAAACCTAACCAAGTGGTTTTGGTTCGGCAAACCAAAATGGCTTGCCGAACCAAGTCTATTTTGAAAGGACAATGGATGTAACAAGCAGAAACTTTTATGTAAACATGGCAGTTTATTCTGAAGACACTGACTGTGTCCAAAATTCCATACTAACATGTTATTTAGCACATTAAAACAGTATGTCCGAAACCTTAGTAGTATGTAACCGAAAGTATGTGAATTGTACTCGATGTAATACTACAGTATGCAAATGAAAATATCCCACAATGCAATGTGGAAGACAACATTCATAACAGACAGTAACCAAGACATCATCAATAAAATAACATCAATAAAGCTTTAACTTAAGTGTAAGATTTGATTTTGCTAAGCGTTATATATTTTTCAAATTGCTGGAAGAGCTTTGATGATCACGGGTTGCCATGGTTACATGTCTCCAGCTGGCACGGAGGCTCTCAGGAAGAGACGTGGTAATTACAGCTCAGTGCGTCCAAAAAGATGTTACTGTTTACTCAAGCAAAAGTATGATGATAGTGCACATATTAGGGATGTAGCACATATTGAATATGCAATTTCGAAGGTGGCAACATCCAGAAATGACACTAGAAGGCTGCCTAGAGTGTCAGAGTTTGAAGCATAAGGCCACTGACTAAGCTGCCTTATTTGACGCATTGGGAGTAAGAACGTGTTGGCGTTTACTTACTTACTTACTTAACTTAAACTTAACTTAACTTAAAATTGTAACAGTTAAGGGTCATGTATGTTGCTTTGGGAGTCATTGGTAAACAACCTATTCTTTGGGTATGAGAACATGTTGAATATCCTTTGGTTGCAGGATTTACACTTCTCCTGAGTCTATAGATTCCCTACCTGTCACATCTACTGATATATTTTGTTTTTAATGCAGTTTCTTATATTGATGTTTACATATTTGCCTTCAACAGTGATTCATTAAGAGATAATGACTTTTTGTTACTAGCAGGCATTTTGGAGACACTAGCAGAATAATAATGATTATAGCTGTATGCAGCATGTCCCCAAATGGCCAGTGTGTGTGTGTGTGTGTGTGTGTGTGTGTGTGTGTGTGTGTGTGTGTGTGTAATTACATGAAGTAGACCAGCTGTAATGGTTGCTCATTAGCTTCCACCACCATCTCAGCCCAGAGAGTCTCCCAACTTCCCACAACACAAGCCTTAAAGCCAGGACGTGGTCAATTGCTCAGCTGTCAGACATGATTTAACATTTCCTTGCCCTCCTTTCAGAGTACCACCAGTGTACACAATGATGTACAATCAAATGTAAACACCATGCTCTGCGACCACCCCGACCTTCGCCCCTTCCTCCAATTTCCCTAAAAATTCCTATTTTAATGGGTTCAATTTCTGGGTTCCTCCTTCATCAGGCTTTGAACTGCTCTCTGTGCTACGGAGGCTGGAGAGATGATGTAAACACAGCTTTCAATTATAAATCAAACTCTAAAAGAGCCACGCTCCGCTGCCCTCGGGCCTTCTGCACAAAGGCCCGGCCTTCATACCCAAACACCCCACATCGCACTGCTGGGAACTTATGGCCGGCTATTCACCAGGAGAAATAAACGACCAAGACAGAGACCTCCTCAGTGGCTGTGAGTGTCAAAGTTATGCAGAGAATGTTATGCTCATCTTTTGTGTTGGCCATTATACAATTTATGATTCTCTACGACACTTAAAGCAGAGGTTTGACGGCACGGGCAGTTTTGCTGGATTTTTGTCTTATTATTTAACTGCTGAATCAATAACCTTTTACTCTGACTTCCACACCCTATGGATTTTATTACAAGGGAAACAAGTCCCCCAAGCTGAATGGCATAACACATTGTTTGTCATTTAATTCCATAAACTAAATAAATGTTTTTTGACCAACAACCCTTTCGGCAGAATGATATTGTTCAACAGTTCCTTCCAAAATGTTGCAACAGGCCCTCACAAAAATTATTCTTATGACTATTTTCTGATCTGCAACCACTATGTTCAATGATAACACATTCTCACTCTGACCTCGTCACATATCAACGTTTGGTCATGGACTTTCCACGTCCTCATACGACCTGCAAGGCACCCTGGGTGTGTTGGTTGTTGAAGTTCTCGGATGCTGTGTCAAGTTCTGCCTGTTCCACGCATTGTCTGTTTTCAGACATCCGTACAACACGACAAATTGACTTTTCTGTTCCTTCAACAGCTAACGCATGTGGTTGGGTTTAGGCAACAAAAGCGTGTGGTTGAGTTTAGGAAGAAAGAACAGGGTTTGGCTTTACAATGTTATGGGAAGCAAACACCGGCCTCCTGGGTGAAGGTCGGTGGTTGTTGGACCCATCCACCCCCACTCCTTTCTTGGTCTTCCACCTTTTGTTGTCCCACTGCGCTTCCCCCTGATGATGCATATCATGCTGATGTGAACGGATGGCTTTTTTTTGTCAGTGTCTGACACCAGAAGTCACTGACCAAGTGCTGGATTTCGATGATTTCGGAGCAAAACCAGGTTGTTAATGGACACAAAATGACTTTTGGTTCTGGAAGGAGGTTTGGGTTTGGAAAATACTTGAGTTATATTGAGTCATCTCCATGACAGATGAGCAAACTCCATCTCCTGATGCTGATGAAGACAGTGAAGTGCAGTTGAAAGCCCTGGTGAGTCTATTTTGATTTATTTTAGATTAATTTGTGACACTGCTCAGTCAGACCTGCATTAACTAACTGTTTGGCCATTTGTTGGCAGCAGAAACAGTACGTGATCAGAAGTATGAAATCATGTGATACATGTCAAAATTAAGCAAGAGTTTAAACTGGAGAAGTATCTGTTGCATGAAAACCAAAAGTACAGTCAGGCTATTTGTTATTGTAGAGTAAACAACACCAGAATTCCTAAAGTCAGTGGGCGATATAAAGGCTGGATAGAAACCAGAGGATCTGCAGCCTCTGTGATGATAATCGTGTGAGTATCATATTTTGTTTGAATGTTAGAATGTAAGCTTAATGACTTACAGACGAAGGTATTTGCCAAAGTGTTATTAAACCCATTCATGTTTATATTAATTTTGTTATTACGATCAGATAAGCCAAAACTTATTTGTTTATTAGGT